CAATTTTGAAAAATTATAATCTAAATAATATTATATATAATGGGTTCAAGTAAATCAAAACCAGTAGAAATTGATGATGAAGAGGCTATTAAAGTAATAAAAGATATAGATGTAAATACGATAAGTGAAATGTCAAGAATTGATATTCTACAAATAAATTCATTGAAAGCAATAATAAATAAATTAGAAAAAGTTAATGAATGTAAAAAAGATAAAATATATTATAAATTACCTGCTTTGAATTTATGTAGTTATTCTTTATTTTGAATTAATAACATTAAGCCTATGGCTTAATGCTATTAATTGCTTATACAACTTCTTTCACTTTTTGGCGTTGATGTTGAAACAGTGCTATTTGTTTCATCTATTAAATGGTCGCGAAGCTCGCGAGCCTCTGGCGAAGCGTCTTCATCAACAAAATTATTTTGAAATCTTAATAATTCCTCGTCCGTTGCCCTCCTCTTCAATGCCTTATAAAGTTTATGTATCCAAGAATTAGTATGAAAATTATAATTACCTCTACGATACAATCCGCCACATCTACATAGTTTCATTGGCATATTATTATATTAAATTAAGTTAGAATATCTTTATTCATCATTTGTAATTTGAAATGCCTGTTCAAAATTGATATGAAACATTTTGTTAATGTCTTTTGAATTCATATTCACGTAGAAAAAAGAATATGGAGCAAAATTAACGGCTTGATGATACATATCTAATAATTGCTGTTTGTCAACAATGGCGCTATTTTCTTCAATAAAACTCATTAATTCACTGGCATTTTCAACCTAAAAATATATAATGAACTGGCATTTAAACGAATGATAGGCGCTAAAACATTGTATTTTTGTGTTGAACAAATCACACTTACTGCATCGTGCCTGCCTCTTGTAAATAATCCATGTAATAATTTACTATATCTAACAAATTTAGGGTCGTCTGCGTGGTCATCTATCACGATTAATATTGAATGCAGTTTCTTTATCTTTTAGATTTCATATAATTAATTATTTTCTTCTGTCTTTCAATTGCATTTTCTAAATCACTTGGATTATAATTATCAAAATAAATTTGTTCTTTTTCATCATCCACGTGCAATTCATCCCTGATATATTTTTTAACTTCTGTAAATGTAGGGTCGTTATGGACGCTGGGGGAAAATATAAATATTCTTGCAAATGAATTTCTATAAACATTCAGTATTAAATTTTGAATAAGGACAGTCTTACCGCCTGTCGAAGAAGCAACTATAATACTTCTAAATGGTAATTTTGGCACGTGCTCATATTTAGATTGTTTGAATTCATATTCAGTTATGTTTATTGGTTTTATTATTGGAACATCGGTCATAGTTGATATTAAAGATATATAGAAAATTATATTTAAAAATTAACTTGTAATTAATATTAAATGGACGTGAGGAACGAGCCTCGCGTGCTAACGCGACCATCGTTTTTATGATATGCTGGCGGCGAATATCATAAAAATGGAACAGGTTTTCCATTGATTCAATCAATAAGCATTGAATCTAATTAGTTTGTATCTCGCTTGCGTGTTGCAGTGAAACCCCAGTGCTGAGCCCTCCTAATATTCTAAAATGCATGAAATAATAAGATTAAATAATTACATAATTATTTTATCTTATTATTATATGACTGTTATCCATTGCAATTGTTGTAAAACTTATGATGACAAATATTTATTTAAACATCTAAATTCAAAATATCATCAGAAATTTGTAGAATATAGATGGAATAAAGACGATACAATGAAAAAACTTTACAAGAAGAGAAAGGCAGAAATGAAAAATAATTTATCTTATTATTTAATATGAAAAGGAGTTATACAGATTATATTAATATAATAAATGAAATGGAGAATATAGAACGGGTTGTCATAACTGATAATAGATGTAAAAAAATATGTTATTTTATTTTAGAATTAATTAAGTTTTTGATACAATATATTAAAAATATAAATATTAATATAAATGCCAAAAAAGAAAAACAAAAAGAATAAGACAGGTTTAAGTGTTTCATCAACTGATGAAGAAATTGTTAAAGAAACATCAGTTATTGAGGTTGTTTGTCCTACGTGCAAAAGAATGTTAGAACTTAAGAATGAATTACAAATAAAAAATAATAAAAGTTGTAAATGTTCATGTATTCCAACAAGTTTCAAAATAAGTAAAAATGATAAGAAAATGAATATTGATAAAACTAAAGACAGTATCAACTTAGAAACTGATGTCCATAGTATAACTTTTAAATTTGGTAGGCAAGCAACACCATCCGATAATAATGAAAACGAAACACAGGAAACTGTTAAACAAATGATGAAAAATATATAATTAAATAAATAAATATCTAAATAAATATATAGTAATGTCTGAAAATGAAAATAATGTTATTGTTGAACTATCAAAGAAGATAATGACAGTTAGTAAAAATGTTAAACTGTTGTACGAGATGATAAAAACTATTGACCAGAAACTTGATGCAAAGGCATACGAACCAAAAGATAACAATGAAGAGAAGGAAAAGATTGACAAAATCTTTGAAAAGAAAGGGATAGGCAGACCCAGCGGTGATTATGACACGAAGCGTAAAAAATATTGTGATATGTTAAATAAGGGACAAATCAAAAGTCCAAAAGAACAAACATTAGAATATTATAAACTAATTAAGGGCGATGATGGTAAATATGTAATTGTTGAAAATTAATATCTAAATAATTCTAATAAATGAATTTATTAGAATTATTTAGCGGAACAAAAAGCGTCGGAACCATAGCAAAGTCGCTTGGATTTAATGTAATCTCATTAGACTTGAAAAATGCTGATATTAATTGTGATATTTTGGAATGGGATTATAAACAATTTGATAGGAACCATTTTGATTTTATTTGGAGTAGTCCCCCATGCACTGAATACAGCATAGCAAAAACTAGGGGAATTAGGAATATCGAATATGCAAATAGTATTGTCTTAAAAACTATTGATATTATCAAATATTTCAATCCTAAATATTTTGTAATCGAAAATCCACAAACTGGATTATTAAAACATCAGGAGTTTATGGATGAGTTTGAATTCAAAGATGTTGATTATTGTAAATATGGAATGCCTTACAGAAAACGCACTAGGCTCTGGAATAACATTACAACTTGGAAACCTAGAGATTTATGTAAAAAGGATTGTGGCAACATCAGGAATAATAAACATATTGAAACAGCACAACGGCTACCATCAGGCACTAAGGAAAAATGGGGTGACAATCCAATAATACATAAGCAGGAAGACCTATACAAAATACCTAGCGAATTAATTTGTGAAATCTTAGTGAGTTTGACGGATTAAGGATTTTGAGTTTGGGGTTGGGATTGAAACTTGAAATTTCTAGGTTCATCCAACGACAATACAGTAAAAAATAGGAATTCTAAAATTTGAAAATATTAATTTTTAAGGGGATAATCCATAGTTTATCAAATTTAGAAAGCGCCAATATTCATATAGATACATCAGGAAACTCCCACCAATTGCCAAACAGGGCACAAAAAAAATGGCGAGAGTTTCCCCTTATATATTATATATATATATACCCCGCCCTAGAAAAACAAAAAAACCCTCCCAACCAAGTCCTTACCTAGTAGGGCACGGTCTCGTAGGCGAAGAAGACGCTGAAGATACCTGCGCAGGAAAAAACAAAACAGAGAGGGAGGGACCCACCAGCAAACCCAAAACCCAAGCCAGCCCGCCCTGCCCCCCCAGTCAAAAGGGGGGCGCACCCAAGCTTATTGTGCTCGCTCATCAACCTAGCACGGCGTCGGGTGTCCCACAAAAAGCTTAAAACTGCTTGGTCAAAAATGCTGATGGTGCTGGGACAAAACGCATTTTTCCATCATCTGGGTCTGTGCGAACCTATTGCCGAAAGTGCCACTTTCACCTTTGAAATCAGCCATGTCAGCGGTGAAATTAGGGTTTTTGGTGGTGAAATTAGGGATTTTGGTGGTGAAATTAGGGATTTTGGTGGTGAAATTAGGGATTTTGGGGTGGACATCACCGATTTTGGGGTGGACATCACCGATTTTGCCCCCATCCCATAACCTCCGCCCCGCCTCTGGAATGTGGTAGAAGATGAAGACGTGGCAAGTGAGCGGCGCCGACGGTTGAAACCCCACACCATAAAACCCAATAAAATCCTACAAGGGACACCACGCCCCAAAAAAATATATGATAAAACTGATGAAACGAAGGAGGGAGTGATGTTGTTGCTGTTCTATTTCTTGTCCGGGAAATGGACAAATCGTTTTTAGACAGTTCGAATATTTTTTTGATGACAAATATTTTTTGCAATATATTTTGCAAAATTTATTTTTTTGAAATGGATGAGGTGAGGAGATTGAGGAAATGACATTTTGGAGGGTAGTTGGTGAAATGAATGAGGCAAGGAGAAAGGAGAAAAGGATGGCGAAAATTTTGGAAAAATGATGATAAAAAAACGGATGAGATGGACAGAAAGGAATGTAGAAAAATGATGAAAACGAATAAGGGTAGAAGATGGAAGATGAAAAAAAATGTAGGGTGGGGGGTATGTATGAAGCAATTTATTTGCGGGGCGTGGCCCTCCACTACTGATAAAACCCACAAAAGCCATGGATTTGTTCGTCTCCTGCTCAGTGGGAGTTATTGCTCGCTTACTAGGTACGGGGGAGGTTTGTGGCTTGATCAATGCCTCAAAAATACTATGGGTAACTTTCCCATATCTGTTTTGGTGGTTTCCCGAATAGCCGCCCGCATGCAAGGACCGTTTGATCAGCCGTTCTGTGTAATTTGTAGGACGGCAATCTCGGGAACCTTTAGGCCCTTAGGCCAACTTGCGAACAGGGGCCCCAGATTTCCCTTTTTGAGTGACTTAAACATCAGCTGTTGAAAGTCGTCAAACATGAGCTGTTGAAAGTCGTCACAGGGATGGTCTGCTTTGGTCGTTCTCCACGCT